ACAAGTGCAGGTAAAACCGAATATAACATTAGCCTCCCGAGGAAGTATATCGCGAAGTTTCAAGCTCATGTGAGTTGATGAAATGTGATTTATATACTAAGATTTTAAAAATGTTTGTCTGTCCTCCGCGCTATTTATGTAGAATTATGAATTTCATTGCGTGCATCTTTACACATATCTTTTTGTAGTAAGGCGTTCTGTAAGGGATTATTTAGAAAAATAGCATTAATTATCTCCCTCTTTTTGAACATTTCGTGTATTTGACTTCCAATCTATCATGTGAGCACAGAGCCCTTTTTGGCGTGTCCTGCAACCCGATGTTTCATATGTTTCACACTGCCAATCAGCAAACAGAAAAACACTTTTATGCAGACTCTACAACTCGCGTAGTTTTGAGTATTGTACTCCCACGTCGGTCTCAAGCAGTTATGTGAACTTTATAAAGTAAAATCTATTGATTATTATAAGAACTTATTTAATTACTAACTGAATATTTGACAACATAAATAAAGGGCTGACCACCCTGAAGGAATGCCCCCAAATTACCTGAAAGGTATTCTGTCAATCTCACCCAGCCTTACACGTATTTCTGATTTTGAAGCTAATTGAAATAACTATGTGTTCCTCACACATAAAAATTCTAAAACATATAAAAGTCTGCTATTGCCTCTTTTATATGGTAAACATTACTTTTATGTGCGTGTGGGCTGGACAAAACAGGGGCGCGCGGCGAAACTATGACGATTACGCACGCAAACCGTCAGAAAGTGTCCAATTAAAGGGGTACGGAAACAAAAATTTAAATATTCAGATTTCGTTCGGAAATGGGTCAAGCATGACGTATAATAACCGTAAATGATAATCGCGCGTTTGTATTTTGAACGATTTGCCATATTTTTCGTTCCAAACGGTGCACTCGAGCAAGCGCTCGAAGAGAAGCGAACGGAGAGCGCGATGCGTCATGGAATATCCGGCGCAAACAAAAACAGAAAGAAAACATTTCCCGCGTTCGTGGAGTAGCAAGGCAGGCGTGGTTATGAGCTTTGCCCTTGGTGGCGTTGTCAGCGTTGTGATGGTGTCAATAGCGTCAGCGCGTGACAACCGAGCCGATCGAAGTGCCCGTGGGGTGACGAGCGTGTGGCTGGCCCAAGGAGCACGTAGCTTCCACAACACTGTCAGCTTAGGGCTGAACGAGGTGGGGAAAGCAACTTTTGTTCGAGTTTTGAGCGACGTGCTAATCTTCTAGGGGGAGAATGACTATGTCCGGTTGCACGAACGAGGGTCCGAGAAAGAGAGGAGTCCTTCCTTTCCGTCTTCTTGAACCGTTTGGTACAATGCGCGACTTGTGAGTTGAGGAGGAAAGCTAAGAAGGAAAATGTTGAAATACCAAAGAGCGACGCTGCTCCGAAGGAAACTGCTACGTCACTACTACGTAGCAGTTTCCACAACGTTGCTAGACTACTTCCCAAATAGGCTCCGCATGCATCCACCAGGTGCACATTGAAGATCGTTTATTTAGCTTTAAAATTAGTTTTCTTGTGCTTTTCAAAGGAAGACTGGTGTTTTTGAGGTTAGGGTGCAACATGCAACACATTAAAGCCGGAAAATGAGCGCTGAAATTTTGTTTCCATACCCCTTTAAGTAGCTGCCATGTAGAGTAGAACGTGAAATACTAATTCGTTTTACTTAACAAAAAAGAATCTTGGAGGACGCTTAAGCTTCACATTTAAAAGTGGAACGCGATAGCGTTACCGGGCCTCGTTTGCATCGCATTCTCATTTGCGGCACAAGCGTGCCTCGCGTGGCCTAGCCAAAAGTGTCCGACTCGCAACAGAAGGGTCAGGGGTTCGAATTCCCCCTGAAATTCTTATTTTTATTTTCTTTGAGGCAGAGAAATTACTTTACAAAGTGAAATCATTTGAGACATACGGCGACCTTTAAGTCGCATTACATGTCATGTTTTAATCACTTTCATTCCACGCGTGATGTCACGTTTCACGTGGGCATTGTGAGTTGTTTGAAATTATTGCGCGAGGGCATGTAGCTGTGACGTCATGACCCTATCGACCAATCATGATTTTGCAGTCACGCCACCGACATCAGCCTTTCTGCGACATGAGCTCCTTAAGGCTATTGTGTTAAAATCACCAATTAGCAAGGGTGATACTCATTTGCAAATTAAATTGACCGGAATCTTGTCAAGAACAAACCTCAACAGCCAGGCTATGCCAGCTTATCCTGTATAATAAAATGTTCACTTGGGCAAGCCCTATTTTGGGCCAGATTTGATCTGAGTGCGAAGATGCGTATAGATTAGAGTAAACAATTGTGATTACTCCTTGCTACATGATAAGTTGCATGCATGCGGTGCTGAGTGTAAACAATGTTTGGTTAGAACAATAGGCATTTTGATTGCCGCTGGGTATTTCAATAAAAAATAGACTGAACAAAATATCCTAAACTTTTTTGACATAAAATTTCCATTGCTTTTAGCTGAGTTGTGTCGTATTTTCATGATATATATGGCCGCGAGGGTGCTCATTTCATAATTTTATGTCATGTAATTAATTCCTTAGTTCAAGGACACAATCACGATTTCACTTTTAATACTGCGACACGAAGTTGTACCAATCACCGGTATTTTAGGTACCCTACCACACTTCACGACAACATTTTATGCGCTGTGTAAATAGATTAGCTTGAACTTTAGAATTTTACTTAAAGACTAAGAAAGGACAAGAAGAAAGTACAATATAGTTCTAAATTTCAAGCTGATCTATTTACAGGTATGTATAAGCAAGCTCAACTCTTTACTGTTGTACTTAAACATTTTGATTCAGGTAAAATATATGTGACTGGTAAACAACGGGATGTTGAGTCGTACGAACACGACGTTATGTAGGTTAATGTAGATATTCTTCTACTCTTGCGTCGAAAGTAAATAGCTGAATCTTATATGTTGGTACCTAAAAAAAAAGTGAGTTGCACGGTCGATCGAAAAAACAATAGAGTTGATCGTTTCACGGCGTAAGTAGTGTATATTGCCAGAACAACGCGAAAAATATATTCTCAATTTAGCGGTTCAAACCGGTTCGAACCGGTTTGAACCGGTTTAAACCGTTATGTTTTGCTCCCCGGAACTGAACCGGAGCCGAACCGAAAGCCGTGAGCCCGAACTGGAACCGAACCGATAAAAATTTCGGTTCGACACTCTGCTCTTATCCAACGGAAAAAACAAGTCACCCGACTCCTTCCTGGTAATCCCCGTGACTCTGTGACAAGAGTTGTGAGGACCCTCCTTTTATGAAGAGTCCCCCGACTCCTATCGCAAAAGAGTCATGGGAGTGTATGACTCTGCGAAAGATAGTCAGTGCTGACTCTCACTTTGTCTGGAGTATAGCAGCCCTAGTCAAGTATCAGTTTGTTGAACAAAGGGAGGCATTGTGATCGTTAGGAGACTTCTTTCCGCCTGCGAGGTTCAACTTGAATTTCCCAAAAAAAGGGTAGTAACATCAACTGTGTGAAAGTATAAAAGTTGAAATGTTATTGCACCTCGTATGTTTTTCACATAGGGCACATGCTAATTGTATCCACGACCCTAATCATAATTGTGTACCCATTCAACCAAAAAAATTGTTTTTACATTTTCTTTGAAAGCATTAACTTTTATGGAGCGAAGCCAGCGTTGTCTGTAACCGTCTGCAGCAGAAACACGGAACCTAAATTCCCATTCCCAATAAAACACAATGAAAAGCACATCAACGCAATGCTTTGTCACGGAAGCCGTCGTGAAGCCGGCAGGGTTAGCCGCTCCTGTGCTATGGGGGAGCGAGATGTACGAATGCTTGTAGGAATGCGCAGCGTGCACGAATGCTTTTAAATGCCTCTGCCGAATTTTTGTATTCTGGCATTTGAGGCCCTAACTGAACTTTTTTGTACAATTACGTGCTTGCTAAACGCAATTCATACCCGGATATCTTATATTTTTAAGTGTAACTGCACTATAATAAACCGCTGATGCCAAGCGAGATTCAAGTCCAAGTACTTAATCTTGCCGTATCAACAAGGGCTTTAGAAGGCCACACATGATTCTTTTCTTGTGCTTTCGTCTCTTTCGAGTAGCAATTTTCAGTCGGATAAATAATTTTTTTAATTAATTAAAATAAGTGCTATTTCGATGTTCCTTAACGATGGATGTATGGTCACTGAGCATCACTCGTTGATGAGCTTCCGGGCGGCCAGAAATTCTGCTTGCACCTGTTACCTCGCTGGAAAACCACCAAACTACTCAAAAGTTTCTGAAAAAAAAAAATGAAATGCAATAGAATAAAGTAGCGTTTGTTATTTAAGTTAGGTTTCAAAGGAAGTGCAAAATACTGGTGCAATTGTTGCCGGAGCGTGGTTAGGAGAGTGTTGCGGGGAAGTCAGTCTCCCACCTCTCCCAGATCCAGACTAACGAGCTCCGGCGTGATATAATCTATAGATTATACCACGCCGGAGCTCGTTAGGGGGCCAAATGCTTCTCAGGAATATGTAAACAAAGTCCCGGTTCAAAACGCGTAATATTCATGGGGAGTCGCGGGGTCGTCGCCGCGAAGCGAGACGCGCCCGACGCCTCGGTCATAACCGCTGGCCAGGCTCCAGATGGTCCCCAACCGCACACAGCGAGTGTGTGTCACCGGACAACGTGCACCGGATTCATCCTTGAGTCGAGCTCGTGAGCCTGCAGCGTGTCCCTTGGCACCTGTCGCCTTTACAGATATCCACGCTCGTTCTCTGGCGTTCCGCGGCTTACTGTGAAACGGGACCCCTAAAGCGAACAAAATGGGGTACAGGCGCACAATTTATTAGTACATTGTTTGTTAATGAAAGCACGGAAGAGACGAAGCGTACTTAGTTTATTTCGAAGATCTTTAGACGAACGCTTGAATAGATCAGACCTCAGGATTTCAAAAGTTTTACGTTTGGTTCGAAAGAGGTGACTGTGAACCTGCGAAGCCCTAAGGAAAGAAGTAGTCGATCTCGCAGCTATTGGGCGCATCGACACATTCCCCGTTTTTACAAATCTGCAAACAAAAAAGAAAGGGATTTTAAATTCAGGAACTGAAGTTTCTGTAACACTGAATACTTTTCTTTTCAGGTTTTATGTAATACTTCTGGCTCACGCCGGTATCTGGGCGATTCCATTCGTGGATACACCGGCGACAACAGCTATATAGTTCTCCTCTTTCGCAGCTTCTCCATTACGCTTGAAACACTATGTTGTTCCAGCAGGAGCACCACTGCTTGTAGCTAGGGTCACATGGTAACTTACGTCGGCCACTGGGGTGTGCGGCAACACCGGCGACAAAGCCCTTCTGTGGTGGTGATGCCGTAGTCACTGAGGACTTAAGAAACGCAGGGTGCGGCTCACTACGGCCACGCTACTCGCTTCGTCCTTTGTCCTTCGGCAGTCCAACTGATGAATGCCGCTATGTAATTGGCTGTGAAGCGACAATGAAATGCTCGTGATCCACCTCACCCTGCGCTTTTTAAGCTGTCATTTCCTACCCCGAACTTCAACATAACTTTTTTCTATCTGGATTATGGAACAAGACAGGTTATTGCATTCGAGCTGTGTTTCAGGTTTTCATACTGAATTTCAGGTTTCCAATACATTTACAATTAGATTGTTTGTTCCATAATCCAGATAGCGAAAAGTTATATTGGGTTTTTGGGTAGGGTTAACTAACATATCGTAAATTAACTCCACGTATTTCCGAATATAGGATACGAACTCCCGGATTCCGATATTCGAATATCTGTTTCTTTCAGCTGTAGCGCTTTTGCGCCTTGCTTTTGTGTCTCGCCTTTGCGTCAGTCTTTTGGAGGTTGAATACCCCCCAAGTTTCCACCTCTAGAAACCTACTGTACGATACGTTAAAAATTATGACAATTTTGCGGGTAACATTTGCGGATAAGCTTAAAAAAGATTGCAAAGCTTTTCTTTTTTCTTTTCGGCTCTGTTATTGAGATAAAATACGACCAGCAAGAAAGTAGTTGTAAACAGAACGTCGCAATAGAAAGTTTTGTGACGCATTACCTGGCCATCGCTTCCACAAGGCAAGCCATTGCGCAGAGTCACTCTGATCCCGTCAGTTCGGTCGTTATAACAGTAGACGGCGCAGCCACCTAACGACGGATAAAACTGGAACAAGAGGTAAGTTTCTGGATACCACCTTCAAAACGACGTGCAAGCAGATGCTGACTAGTAGGTATGAAGGGTGTTTCATAAAACGGCGGCAAATCGCTCCAACAAAAAATAGGCATCACATAAAAAAAATTATGTATATATATATATATATATATATATATATATATATATATATATATGTAGTCGCGTAGGGTTGGCCGAAGGCGTGGAGTACACAAAGTTGAAAATCCCAAGTCAGAGAAACAAAAACACGGAAGATTTATTTCAACGTTTCGGCAAGAGTCTTGCTTCCTGACGAAGGCACGACTCTTGCCGAAACGTTGAAATAAACCTTCCGTGTATTTGTTTCTCTGACTTGGGATTTTCAACTTTATATATATATATGTGTGTGTATGTGCGTGTGTGTGTGAGTGGTGATACTGGTTTTTGCCGAAGGGCATATACAAGAGAGATGGCAACGTTCGATTTAATAAGGCTTCTATATACATTTGACTCATTAATATTAATAATATTATTAATATTTATTTGCATACAAAAATCTGATCCTGGGTGGCGTGCACGGCTGTGCAGAAAGGTTAAAACCCGTACGCGAGTGCGCCTGCCAACCCGCCACCCACCGCCACCGTTAAATCAGTAAATTATGTAGGAACGAATGCAGCTACATACAAATATTGCGCATCGCCGAAAACTCTTGAACTAGCGCAGTTCACACAGTTATAAGTGCCTTATAACTGGAAAATGCAATATTGAATGGCAGCAAAATGAGAACGGAAAAGCACTCAATTTGGGCGCGTTTTTACCTTTCCGGTTTCTATGAAGCCGCATCATACGCCAGAAGTTTTGCTCCCCGTGGATAAAGCGCGTAACTAATGCGGTATTCACACGAGGTAGCAATATCTCGTATGAATAACAGCACTACGGACAGTTCCCTCCTTTAACGCGGTAGCGTTACAGCCGTCATGTCCGGGAAAATCGGTAGCATGGCAGAAAAGCCGGTGTGTGTGGCGTGCCGCGAAAGTCCTTATAGGTCGATAGGGTCATGACGTCCCAGCCAAATGTAATTTGAACATCCCACAACGCTGACGTGAAACGTGACGTCACACGTGGGATGAAAGTGATTAGAAAACATGACATGTAATTCGAATAAAAGGTCACTGTGTGCATGAAATGACTTCACTCTATCAAGTAATTCATTTGCCTTAAAGAAAATTTTGGAGAATTTTAGACGGGATTCGAACCCCCGACACTTTGGTTGCAAGCCAGACAAGCTACCAACTAGGCCATGCAAGGCTTTTGTTTTTATTTATTTCCTGTTGGGTATACGACACAGATGCACTAAGACACAACACTTCTTTCTTACACAGACCAGTCGCCATTTGCCTGTACATCAGGCCCTAAAATAGCTTCAAATCAGCAAGTCCGTCTAGCACAGACAGCCATTCTGGCGGTTCGCTCTGTGATATTATAGCTTCTCGTAAATAACACAGGCTCTCAATAAAGTAGTTTGAACAATCGAACGTTCAAGTCGGCATGTCGAACAGCCATCCTGGACTTCCACATACTGTGGAGACTCAACACCACGAACATGTCGTAGGGCACACCCTCGTTACCGGTTGTGAGAAAACGTAAGCCAAAAACAGTTATTGGCAAAGGTTTTTTTGTTTTTTTTAAGTACGCTGTAGAGCATCGCAATGAAATACTGCGTCCCGGCAGTCCAGAAATATATGGTTTATAGTTTCTGGCTTTTTACATAAGAGACAAACAACTGGGGCGGAGCCTGCAACTAGCATGATTCTTGTTTGAGGCTCCGCCCCAACGTTCGGGTTCACGCACGCGGACAGCTAGAAATTGACGATCCCCCTACGTTACGATGACGTGTCCACCCAGTTGGGGCGAAGAAATCCCCGCATTTCCCCTTGATCTTTTTTTAATCTTCTTTCTTTCCCCCGGGAGGTAGAACGAGCGGATAACGGAGAAATGCTAACTTCCCCGATAATGGAAGGAAACAGAGAAAAAGAATAGTATCCTTTCATAAAATACGAAAGATTGTTTCAATAGTTATGATGTAAAGCAAATTTAGCTAGTATATCTCAACTTGTTTTCTCTAAGCATTTCGCTACTGTCTTTCAAAACAAACATGGCGAAAACCACGGTAACAACCTTGTGGTGTTTGTGCCTCTTTTGTGACGTCGCATTCCCTGTTCCTGCACGATACGGATGGCATTACGAGAAGAAACTATTATGTGAAGGTACGCTGCGACACCGATCATCCTTTGTGAAGCCGCCGTGAACATAAGCTGCAAATGAAATGTCCTCTTTGCCCGTGAAGGAGACTCCAAATGAATACAGCGCTGACGACGACTGTGGTAATATATGACAAGTCGTGAAATCGACGCAGAGTGCACCGAATGTGAATATATTGTGGATGATGCAGGAAAGTTTCTTCGGGCAGTTTTAATAATGCTTTTCTCCCTTTGCTCACCGCAGTGATTACGACGGTAGTCCCCATAAGCCATGCTCTTTTCTTTCGGCGCTGCAGAAATGCATGCAACCGCATAATCTCGGGCAGCCTTTTTTACTTACTTTCCATTTGCATAAAAGCTCGTGCGAAAAAAAAAAAACGGCTTCCACGTTTTTACACGTCCCTACATAGGTGCCTCGCTATCCCATTGGCTTCATTGCGCGTGACGATTCAACGCTCTTTGCCATGGGAACGTTCGTGAAACTAGAAAGCCTCTATTTTCCGCTAACGGCCGCCTTCGAGTTCGGATTGTGACGACAAAATGTTCGGATTGTGACGAGCAAGAATTCACGGGAATATTTGCATTGTTTTAACTCGACAACCGTACCCTTGGCGTGATAAACTTGAAATAACATGGCCGCGATGCTCGTCAGATCGACCGCGGCTGGGGCTTGACAAGCGATCGGTAACTTGATCAACGCGCACATGAATGCTTTCGTGCTGTTGGATGAGCCCATTCGGTGGCAGGACCGGGTTGAAGAGCACGGTGAGCTGGCGTTCAACGTCTCCGGTATAACACTTGGCGAGGTGCAAGGCTTGGCTTCCATTTGTGCCGGTGTTATGAAGCTTGAAAGTGGTGGTGTTGTTGTGGCTCGTAACGGCAGCCTTGCTGAGATTAGGAAGACGGTAATAGACCTTCATTCACCGTTGCCATGCGTCAAGATTCAAAACGTCACCTTGTCACAAAGTGACCATCGCTTCCGCGAGCACGGAGGCAGCAGCCACGACCGCCAGTGATCGTTCCAACGGCAAGAAAACAAACGACAAGCTCATTGAGGTTTGTGTAGCGCTGACTGCTGATTCATCGGGCGACAAGGGTGAATGATGTAAAACGCAATGTGAGTTTTCTAGCGTTTTGCTAAAGTAACGCGTTTCGTTGAAAATTTAATTTGTGGATTTTTGTTAACGCCTTGAATGTTTGACGGGGACTGCATCGTGAACGCAGCCTTCACACAAGTGTTTTCTGAAGTGCGTGCTTTGCCTGCTTGCATTTAAAAACAGAAACACTGCCTCTATGATGCATAAAATAAAGGGAATTTCGCTTATCCTGATAATGTTGACTATCTATTGAGTGCTGTTGATAGCAGAGGTCGGCATTTTAGGTCGCCCTCACTCACCCCCACCCTCACAGCCACACTCGCCTAAGCCCCTCACTCACCCTCACCCTCACAGCTACACTTACCTTCAGCCCCTCACTCACCCTCACCCTCACAGTCACACTCACCTTCAGCCCTTCACTCACCCTCACTGAACCTCACGGCCCTCACGCACTCACCGCCCTCACGGCCCTTAGGCCCCTCACGGCCCTCACGCCCCTCACTCATTCCTGGCCCTCACGCCACTCACCGCCCTCACGGCCCTCACCGCCCTCACGGCCCTCACGCACTCATAGCCCTCACGCCACTCACCGCCCTCACGGCCCTCACCGCCCTCACGGCCCTCACGCCACTCACCGCCTTCACGCCACTCACCGCCCTCACGCCACTCACCGCCCTCACGCCACTCACCGCCCTCACGCGCCTCACCGCCCTTGCGGCCCTCACACCCCTCACGCACTGATGGCCCTCACGCCACTCAGGCCAGCTTCAGATGGGGCAATTTCGCCCAGAAACTTTACGTCACAACACCAGCAACACGGGCCGCCCGCGATCACACGCAGCAACCAATTGCTGCAATTTGCCATCGTCATCATAAAATTTTATTTTTCTTGCACTATTTAGACACAATTACGCGTTATAAACGTGTTTTTATGCATTTAAATCTCGTTAAGAATACTAATTCACCTTTCTGAAACTGTTTATTTCCAAAAAAACAATCCATTTCAAACCAGAACCAAGTCTTTCGGTGTCATCATCACCGGCACGAGGTATCACGTGAAAATTTTGCGTCCCTGATTGGATGCAGCCGCTTCAAACGCATTCGAATTGCTCCGAGTTACTTGCTTATTTCGAGCCGGACCCGATCTCAGCAATTCGTGTCGATCTAGGGAAAGCTAGAGAACAACCCGCCATTACCACCAAAATTGCTGAGAAAGATGCTCGATCTGAAGGGGGCCTCACCGCCCTCACGGCCCTCACGCCTCTCATGCCACTCACTGCCTTCACGCACTCATGGCCCTCACACCCCTCACGCACTCACCGCCCTCACACCACTCACGCACTCATGGCCTCACGCTACTCACCGTCCTCACGCCCCTCACGCACTCATGGCCCTCATACCCCTCACCGCCCTCACCGCCCTCATGGCCCTCATGGCCCTCACGGCCCTCACCACCCTCACGGCCCTCACGGCCCTCACGGCCCTCACCGCCCTCACGGCCCTCACCGCCCTCACAGCCCTCACGGCCCTCACCGCCCTCACAGCCCTCACGGCCCTCACTCACCCTCACACTCATGAATTTTCCTGGTTCAGAAACTCACTCACCCTCACCTCACCTGTGAAGATGAGGATGAGTGAGGGTGAGTGAGGGCCCTCATGAGTGAGGTTTGCCGAGGTATGGTTGATAGTACTGGCTTAGCCAGGAGCTTTTGAGGGGGTGAGGGGGGAGGGAAGTTGAGGCGACTGGGATTTTATGACCTGAGGTGCGGGGGGGGGGGGGGGGGTTTCGACATTTCTGTGTATAAGCTAGGGCCCGCCTGATTTGGCAAGGGTGGGGGCGAAGCCCCATAAGCCTCCCCCCCCCTCCTGGCTTTTCCACTGGTTGATACCATATAGGGAGCATCCTACACTTACAGGCTGCCATAAGCACGTGCACAGCTACTGAGCTAGTACATTAATGGCAAGATAGTTGCTGACATTCTTCACGTTACGTAGCAGTTCTTTTTTATAGTACATATGCTCGCTTCTCCTTCACACATCTATTCTGCTTCCGCTCGTCCTTTATGCTTGATGGTGATAAGTCAACAGTGCGTATTTGCTCTGCATCACAGGCAGATTTCAAAGATCCAATTAACACTACTGTTTAATTTCAATGAGTTACTGTCACTGTTGAAGCGACAATCTATTTAATTGGTATCATAACCTCTACAGTAAGCATACGTCTGTTCAATGTAGGATAATGGTATCGTTATTACTTTTCTTCTGTGCGACCCGCATCAGCCATGTCTATGCTCGCACCGCCCTCTCTTTGTCGTCGTTCCGAGCACTTGCGTGCCTCGTTTCCTTTCCTTCCACTCTCCCGGGATGGCGGTCCCGTCTCGCGAGTTACTGCATTAGCGACTTGCGCGATCGAAAGTGGTCGGCCTTCCAGGATTGGCCGAATGCTGACTATGACGTCAGCAAAAGAGTTCTCATGGACGGAAATAAAAGGAACGTGAGGGCTTCAATTTTGACGGTGTTGACAGTGTTGGTTCAAGAACGCTATGATTGAAGCTTCCGCCATGCAAATTAGAAACACCATTGAACTTGTTGTTCGCAAGGTAATGACGTCACGAAAGGTAACCATATGAGGGCGCCACCGGAACATCTCGCCTAGAGTGCCTTCATACACACGCGCGCTTTTGCTTGAGTGGTGACATCTCAGCCATTTTTCCGACCAATCGTTTTTTTATGCATTTTGAAGCGCGCGCAATCTGGTGTTACTGAGCTCGAGCGCGTAGCTTTGGCTAATCCATAGACGCCATTTTACCGCCCAAGTCACGCACCCAGTGCGCGAGAGCGTCACGCGCTGGCACAATCAGGGCAACAATGGATGTCTTCACCCTCAGACAGACAGACATGTAGGCACCCTAATCTCGCCGCTAATAGGCTCCCTACGGGAGCCAGAGTTGAGCGTTCAGCTCCGTAGCGCCGCCTTTCCTGCACGGCATGTTGATCCCGCTCCTCACGTGACTGAATTCGGCGAATGGCGGCGCCGCGCATTCGAGGCGCGGCGCGCTCAGAAGCAGGGGCGGTGCGCATCCACAATTGGTCCTCCTCTCGCCCCCCCCTCGCCCCCCCCCCCCCCCCCCAAACCCCCCTTTTCTTCATGCACAACACTTAGAGAGAGAAGCAGGGGAACGTACGGCGGGGCGAGTGCAACGTCTATTTTCCTGCACGGCACTTCATCCGGCTCCTCACGTGATCGAACCTCGCCCAATAGCGGCGCGGCGGCACATGGAAAACAGACGCGCAACTCTGGCTCCCTTAGGGAGCTTATGCAGGAACTCTAGCGTGTCTAGTTTCCTCTAACTTCTTGGGGCGAGTCTGTGTCGCGTGCTAAACAGCCTCGCTGGTCATTCACCTTCACAGAGTGGAATGGCTTATGACCTTTTTCTTAGAGATGAACGTGGGTGCATCATTTAAAGAGAGGACTGAGGATTGAGTTACGTGTAACGATAATTTTTTTTTTTCAGAAAATGAGTACGACGTTTTTGCTGAAATTAATCACAATTCGAATAAATAGGCTGTTTTGGGAAAATCAGTGCGATTCCTTAAATTTGCTGCGTTTCTTAGTTTATATATTTTTCTCTTGCCCAACGAAGAGATATCCATGAGCAGAACAGCCACTAAATAAACAATTTCGAACAATCAATATTGAAAAAAAAAAAAAAAAACGCTATCACCATATCTCGCATAGAGAAGTGAGAGAGGGCTAATGTTTGAAGTGTGAAGCCTTACATTGGACCTGTCTTGAACCTTGCATACTTGTTGCATTTGTTTTAGTATTTCCGTCTTACATCCCGGTGATAAACGTCCATACTTATTTTCTATTACAACAGCCGGCGAGTCAGCAGAAGGACGTTCAGGTTCTGAAAAAGAAAAGCAAACGTAGAGATTAGAAGGTTCGCTTCATACCTTCAATGAAGTAAAGGAATGACGGATTTGCCGGCAGTTACAGCTTGCACAACCATCGTTGATATTTCGTAAGATACTTCACATCACTTTAGTTTTAGGCAATTAAGAATTCTCTGTCTTGTCTCCGCCAATATTGTATATTCACTCATTACTGGCGAGGTAATGTGACACCAAAGTCTAAGGAATTGGGGCATATATGAATTCGAAATCATTGACTGTCCCATGGAGCGAGCCGACGTCATCAGCTTTGAAGCCGCGCCAAACGGCACCCTAACTACTTTCTCCAAGTGAAGCCGGCTCCCAGCTTTGAAACCAGGCGAAAAGCCTAGCCAAGCGGCACCTAGTTTCCCCGATCTCAAAGGAGCAGAGTGAAGCTGATGGTTTTCGGCTTCGGTCCCATTGGCTGGCGCGCGTCATAGCTTCACGGAACGAGGCTCCCATTGGCCGCTCCGCGTCAGTGTCCACGAGAGCCACCCCATGGCGCTGCGTGTCTGCGCCGTGAGCGCGCCGGTTACACGAAGCGTCCAAGGTCAAAGCGGCGAGGAGAGCCAAGGAGAGCGCGCGCTCAGCCCTCGACGGAAATACACCGCAGACGAAATAAGGGAGCGGAAGAATGACGTACATGCTTTCGCATTTATAAGTCATAAGAAGTGCTAAGGTGTAGCTCGAGCCTTTTTTTCCGCAAATTATTTGGGAGGGCCAATCGCTGCAACGTAAGGGGGAGCTATACGAATGTCAAGCTCATAATACGTTTAGAGCTGAAACCTAAACTGCCTGCACTGTGACACTGAGCACACTAAAATGTTATGCTGACTTTCACAGCGCAGTCTAACTTCTTTGGTCTAAACACATTTTCATCTTCGTCATATGCCAAGTTCTCTTTGTAGAGTGCAGAAATTGGATCTCTGAAGTGATCCGTGTGAAAGTACACGTTTCAGGCTTTTAAGGTTCGGCTATCCGCTTTTTCACGCATGAGTTAAAACGTGGTGGCGTAGGTTAGATAAAGAGAGGGTAATGGCTTCAAAAAATTTAGTAGTATCATTAATAGAAACGATGTTATGAGGTAGTGAATTCCAATCCTCGACGGCCAATGGTAGTGTGGAAGTCTGGTGAGAAACAGTTGATGATCGAATTGGACGTAATTTACATAGGTGATCTAGACGCGGGAAAATACGATGGGGAGGTGATAGCAGTGATTCTTTGAGGTGGCTACTGTGATAAAAAACTCGATGGAGGAGAGAAAGGCGTGATACTCGGCGGCGAAGGGAAAGTGAATGAAGGTTAGCTGATTGGCGTAATCCTGATATGCTGGTATATGGTGAGTAGTTGTTATAAATAAAACGAAGGGCTCTGTTTTGGACGGATTCTAGATTATTTGCAAGGTAGGACTGCCATGGGGACCATATAGATGAGGCGTATTCTAATGTCGATCTTATAAGAGTAGTATACGCTAGTCGTTTTACGGAGGGTGTAGCAAGTTTAAGGTTACGGCGCAAGTATCCGAGAGAACGGTTAGTATCAGAAATAACAGAAGTTACGTGAGTAGTCCATGATAGGTTAGAGGTGAGATGAACACCCAGGTACTTATAAGATGAGCATGCTATGACTTGAGTGTTAGAGCGCTAATACGAAAATGGTGTGGCACGCGAACTGCGGGAAAATGATAGGGATCTACATTTATTGAAGTTTAATGTCATCTGCCATTTTTCAATGGATTACAGACTCTAGGTCTTCCTGGAGAGCATGATGATCATGGTATGAAAGAATGGGTCGGTAAATGACACAATCGTCGGCGAACAGGCGCACAGAAGAAGTGATATTAAGGTGGAGATCATTAATATAGATTAGGAACAGAAGGGGGCCCAGTACGGTTCCCTGGGGGACACCTGACGTTACGGTAGAGGTGGGAGATTTTACGTTGTTAACGGAGGAATATTGCTTACGGTTAATTAGGAATTCAGAAATCCACTTAACAACAGAGGGATGAATATTAATATCGTTAAGCTTTGTTAAAAGACGTTGGTGGGGTACTTTATCCAATGCTTTGGAGAGGTCAATGAAAATGGCGTCGGTCTGAATATTCGAATCAAAGCTTGAGTAGATATCAGTAAGGAAGGCGGTTAGCTGGGTTTCACAAGAGTAAGATTTACGAAATCCGTGCTGATGTTCAAAAAGAAGGTTATGAGAGTCAAGAAAGTTTATTATATTTGAGTAAAGTATATGCTCCATGAGCTTAGATGGAACACTGGTGAGAGAGATGGGACGGTAATTACTTATTAGTTGGCGATCACCAGTTTTGTGAACAGGTATTACGTTAGCTATTTTCCAGTCACGTGGAACTATGGAAAGCGTGAGCGATTGTGAGAATATGTCACAGAGAAAAACAGAGGAAATGTGTTTAGTGTTTATTAATACCTTCGAATTAATTTGGTCGTCTCCAGAGCTCGAAGAAACCTTTAGGTTTTCTATTGCTTTCAATACACCTGCGGGGTCAATTATGATAGGATTCATCTGGGGGTGAGTTAATGGGCATGAGTCGGGAACGTTTAGCAAGTCTTCTTTAGTAAAGATTGATGTGAAGAAATTGTTAAGGTAAAGAGCGCTATCTTCGTCTGAAAGTGGGATGCCGTTGTCGTTTATGAACTGCAATCGAAGAGACAGAGCTGGGTTGACCACTTTCCAGAACTTTTTGGGTTTATTTGTTAAAATGTTGGGGAGGTCATGAGTATAAAACTTAATTTTAGCATCAGCAATGGCGGTTTTGTATGTTCTAGCACACGCATGATATGTATCCCACGAGGCTGAATTGTTGACAGATTTCGCTCGCTTATAAAGTCGCTTTTTCTTGTTAGCATGACTATGCACCCTTTTGTTATACCATGGGTGACAGTTATCTGATATGATGCGGGTCAATGGGATGAAGCGCTCAACTAAGTGGGATAGCTTATTTTTATAGAGCGTCCAATTTTCATCGACGGTTCTTTCCTCGAGATTAACAGAGAATGATTGGTAAAAGTCTTCGAAGCATGCGTTGATAGACACATAGTCGGCCCTCGCATAGTCGCGAATGTATTTGCAATAATGTGATTTCCGAGGAAGAGTGAGAGAGAGTGTTATGTCGATGACAAGATGGTCGGTGATTCCTGTTAAGTAGGTAACGTTGCTAAAAAGAGAAGGCTCCTGACTTAAGCACAAGTCGAGTATATTGCTGCAGCAGTCGGCAATTCTGGTAGGCTGTGTGATAATATTTGTTAGGTTATAATCTAGGCAAAGATCTATAAATTCTTGAGAGGAAGTGCAAGTGGATGTAGACCAATTAATATTCGGGTAATTGAAATCCCCAAGAAGTACAACAGAAGCGTTAGGATATTGAGTAGCGAGTTCAGAAAGACACTTATTAAGCTCAAAGGTGAATTCCTTATTACTATCAGGTGGCCTATGACATACGCCCAGTACAACAGAGGGCGCCGTAGGGAGGTAAACCCCTAACGACTTCTAGTGCGGTAGAAAGTGGAATGAGCCAAGACGTGATTTGATTATTAATAGCCAAAAGTACGCCTCCCCCCTTTCTAGTAATTCTGTCGCACCTGTACACACGAAAGTTTGGATAAGAAGGAAACAATTCAGCATCTGATATGTCGGGATTTAACCACGTCTCAGTAAGAACAATAAAGTCGGCGTTGCATGTTTGAATCAAGGAATTCACATCATATCTCTTTGGGATTAGGCTTCTAATGTTAGTAAACAAAATAGAATGAATAGAAGATGTCTTATTGATAACGTGGGGTTTGGCAGTTTGATTGTGAGTGGGCAAACGCGAAGAACGCCGGCATTGCTACGTACATTTTTCAACAACCGAGCCGATAGCGTCATCGAACACAAAACACTTGCCATCTATGAACAGTTTATCGTGACGCAGCCGAAAAGGCGTTCCCTTTGGTCTGGCAAAATCAAGAAGACGACGTCGTGCGAGCCTTGCAGAAAGTGGAAAATCTTCACTAATTGCAACGCGTGAGCCCTTAAGCTTGTGCGCAGAACCAAGAATGCCCTCTTTTTCTTTGAACGATGAAAACTTGACAATGATGGGACGAATTTTCTGCTGATGGAATGCTCCTAAACGGTGAGCTCTTTCAATTCCGGAAGATAAAACTTGGATACCGAGTTTCTCGGAACACACGCTTGTGATCAAGCCCTCAGATTGAGCCCAAGTTTCTTTGTCAGTGTCAGCGATTCCGAAAAATATTAGATTAGAACGGCGGGATCTGCCCTCCGCGTCGTCGCAGCGCGCTTTTAATTTAGACAGCTCGTTTAAAGCCTCCGTAAGGTGAGGTGTAGTAGATGCATCGCAATCACCTGTTTCTTTCCGGGAATTCAGTTCGCTCGAGAGCTGGTCTACGTTTTCCTCAAGGGCCGAAACGGTCGCTTCGTACTGCTTTTGCTGTTCTGTAAGCTGAGTGACTTCCTGCTGAAGCGTAGAATGACTCGCCTGAAGTTTTGTAACAGTGTCTTTAAGATTATTGAATTCTTCTATTCGGGCTAGAGACATAGGGCCTGGGTTCCTTTCCACATCGCCGGAAAGCAGCAGCAAAACTCTAAGAAACTCGATACAGGCTTTGTATGAAAATACAAAAATGACTGCGTCGCAAGAAAGGGTTAGTAGGCGCTTCATGTCGATGGGGCACGACATTTGCACGACATGTCGATGGGGCACGACATTCCGGTTCTGAACTAGACGGTGGCTTTCCCAGTATTTGCGAAATTAAATATACACAGTATCGTCTCGAAATGCCCACTTTTAGCACTGTCAGACTTAATTCACAATTATGCTAAAATAATGAGCAAACAATTTGAAAATATACGTGAACCGGAAGTGTGCCTGGACCACCCAATAGATGGCGCCACTAAGCTTGTTGCCAAACAAAAACGATCAAATACTCCGACGTTGAGGGCAGCGAACGTAGCATAGCGCAAAAAGTGTGCCTTTCATTGGCGGGTGAGCAGTAACTCGACATCTGCGACCAATCAGTAGTGATGTCAGCTGCGCTACGCCGCGTTCGCTGCCCTCGACGTCGGAGTAGAACAGAGCCTTTGCAGTGCCTGACGTACGTGACCATGTCACACGACACTGTGACGTCACATAACGTCATACTTTGTGTGACGTTATATTACTTTATATTTTACATATTATATTACTTATATTATTATATTCTATTATATATTATATTATTTATATTATATTACTTATATTATACTTTCTGTGTAGTCTGTGTGCACCGGAATGTGCAGCGCCTTGGGTGTTGCCTCAGATATATTGCATGACATCGTGGGGAACCGTGAATCTTGCTTTTTTAAGCAAGCAAAATTGCTAATACTGTTGTCTCTCGTTGAATATCCCAAACTTCATGTAGCCTCAAGAAAGATCTCGGAACGCACAAAAGCACATAGGCGTAGAAATTGTATAATTATGAAGCTTTCAGGACAATTTCGGCCAATATATTCAAATTAAACGTCTGTACCCGTCACATTGTCCGCTGGCACTGACAATATAAATTCGAAATTTCTCAAAAACACCAGCATAATTTTTAGTGAATTTTTCTCACTCATATATAATCAGTCCTTATCTGAAAGCCACTTTCCTTCAGGCTGGAAAATTAGCAAGGTTGTCCCGGTTTTTAAACAGGGAATTTGCTCTACTGTCTCTAACTCTCGCCTGATATCTGTAACATCTGTCTCATCCAAACTGCTTGAGCACATACATCACTCTCCGATCATGACTCACTTAACAACAAATATATTTTTATCTATGAATCAACATGGATTCGAAAAAGGACTATCCTGTGAGACGCAGCTCTGTGACTTCATTCATGATCTACACACTAACCTCTAGTGTCATGCTCAGACCGACGCCGTCTTTCTTGATATCTCCAAAGCTTTTGACCGTGCCCTCCATCAACTTCTACCTTCCTATTTGTCCCCTCTCCACCTTGGTCTCTTAGTGTTTGCATGGATACGCGACGTTCTTTCCTCCCGCGTACAGTTCACGGTCATCAGGGTCACGAGTCCATTTTAACAAATTTCTCCTCTGGTATTCCGCAAGGGTCCGTCTCGGGCCTCTGCTTTTTTAATATTTATCAAGACCTTCCTTCCACCATTTCCTCTAAAATACCCCTCTTCGCAGACGACAACATGTGTGAATAATCAAAACCAGCTACAAGATGTCCTCCTAAAATTAAACACTTGTCACTAAACAAATCCAAATGTAAATTAATCCGCTTCACCAGAAAGAAATCCATCCCACATCATCAGTGCTTTCTCGACTCTGACCTAATTGAAACCGTTTCAACGTATAAATATCTTGGTAAAAACTAACATCAGCCCTATCATGGAATAACCTCATTGAAGCCATACATGCTGACTCATCGAGAACTCTAGGCTTCATCAGACGTAACCTGCGCAGTGCTCCTCCACTCGTACGCAAAATGAATGGCGTATGACACTTTCATCAAACAAAAGTTAGAATATGCAGCTTCCATCTGGAGTATTAATCAGGTCTTCCTCATCCATCACCTGGAGGCTGTACAAAACCGGGCCGATCGTTTCATCTTGTCGACCTATGATTTTTCTATCAGTGTATACGCGTTAAAATGTCAACTAACCATGTCCCTTTTGTAGCTCCGCAGAAACCTATCTCGCCTCTGTCTTCTTCATAAAGGCCACTATAATTGCCCGACCTCAAGAACTCTATGTTATCACCTCCTGACAGAGCATCGTCTCGCCTTAACAACTCCTGCACAATGGAACCTATTTCCGGTTTACAAGCACATTTAATCATTCTTTCCTTCCCCAAGCCATCTGCGGCTGGAACACCATCGTAGATCCAGAAGTGTCAATCGAGCTTACGAATTCATTTTTTGTGGACCTCGCAGTTTTTTTAAACTGATTGTTTACCGAAAACACTAAAATAGTGAGGCCAGTAGTAGGCACAGGTTCACTTTCTCGGAAGCAGAACTTGTTCCCAATAGATTACAATACGTTTATGGTATGAACTTTGAAATTGCTGCAACGGAGGACTATTTCAGCACTAGGTCATCAGCAAGAAAAAAAGAGAAACGAATCTGAACGAGATATTTTTGCATTCGAAACTTACTTGCTCGAGCCTGGCAAGAACGTTACGCCAGTCGAAAGCGTGGAGAAAAAATGACTTTTTTAACGCATTCATTTGCCGTAGCAGCTATTCTTAATATAGAGATATAGAGAGAGATTTTGGGTGAGTATTCAGATAGTGTAGCTATTTGACATAACTAAAAAACACGGCGTAGTACACTTTCAGTAAGAAACCTCAATACACCAACTGATGTGTACAAACAAACCGGAGTCGCCCTAGCGGCACGCCACAGTCGCCGCGCATGCGCGATGTTGTTTGGGCAAGAAGCGCCGCGTCCCGGCGCGTCAACAAACCGTTGGAATGGAGTGTTGTTTGCATCTGTGTGAGTCCAGTGCTTGTTTTCGCTTTTGTAATTGCTGATTCCACGTCTTCCTGTCATAACTTTAGTGGCCTGAGCGAAATTAATGAAGCTCGTTACACAGTAAAACTCCGTGTGAATAATGTGACGTGCGGCGATGCACTCCATGTGAACGGAGCATAATGTACGCTAAAGCCTGCTTCACGTTATGTTGTTCTGCTCGCTATTTTCAGTAGCGACATCACTCGGGCTATGAAAGCCTGGACGGTAGCTGCGATGCTCGACGCCGATACTGAAAATCATAAGCAGAATCGGACCGATTAAATCAGCCATAACAAGTCGGTGATGGCCTCTGGTAACAATGATCAACACCTCCTTGTATATTCTGCTTGCACCGAGGTTACTTACCATAAGCAAGCTTCAAACTTAGCAGTCTTTTGAGGCCTGCACTTACTTCTTATCGCAAAATTTTGCCTACTATAGCCGCTGTTATTTGAACAAGCAGGCGAGAGTTTTACCGAGTTTGGAAGAGCAGACGACAGTCTGAACGATCAGACGGTCGTGGTCCGCGGGTGATGTGGTTTGAGAACTTTTCCGCGTTCATGTAGAAACAAGGCAAGTGCATGTTTTCTGGACTATACTCCGCGGACTATACATGTTTAAAAGTTTGAACTTTACCCGGTGCGGACTGTCGACAGGTGGGACCTTTACAAGGTTTTGTATTTTTCTAGCTCGTTCACTGTAACAAGACGGGAACGACTTTATGAATAGAAAAGTATATCATGGTGATTTATGTATGATACAAGCCTCTTTCTGAGATAATCCAGCAGGTATCTGTCAATGTGTGCTGCGTATCATAAGTTTTAAGTTCGAATTGTGTACTAAGTGCGGACTATGCGCCGCGTGCGAAGTATGTACCGAGAGCGGACTGTCTAAGGAAAGCCTTTTTTACACCAAATTTTCCCCTGCCCACGATACACCGGGTGCGGACAATAGTCCGGAAAATACGGGTACATAAATCTGACAACCACATGTATCTGTGAATCCAACCCAAAGTGATTCCCGCAAAACTATATCGTGGTTCGATAGTGTATGGTTTTCCTTTTTCAAGGCACCTATCCGCATTTTCAGACAAACCAAGCAGACAGAAAACATATTAAAACTGATCTTCAAACCTTTCCCGGCACTTTCAGTAAGCCGTAGTCGCCTAATTCTGACGAGAAGGCCGGTTTTAGTCTGGTTTCTTCCAAAGCAACACAGGAATGCCCGTCCCGCATGGCAACCACCGCCCACACTCTTAAAAAAAAAAAAAAGAGTATAGCTTTACATCCGTTTGCACCATATAATGCACCACAAAACTTCAGCTCGACGTAGAGCGCCCTACAGTCGAACAGACGGCCCCAAATTTCACGAAGGGCTTGATGACGGTGCGATATAACTTATTAAATAGCTAAACTACGTGTCAGAGACCACAGAAAGAAAACACTGAGGTTTTGCGGTAGGGCCAAGAAAACCGCGACTTCTTTTTTTTTTTAAATTGTAGTCAGTCACGCGTACATTAGCTATTTTAATAAGTTGCACCACACGGCTGTCAATCCTCTCGTGAAAGTTGGAACCGTCAGTTCGACGTCTGTTAGCTGTACGTCGAACTGAAGTTTTGAGGTGTCTTATACGGGACAAAGGGTGTAACAATACACCCTTTTTTTTTTCTAAAGTGCACACCCGCAGACCGGAAGTGCGTACAAAGCACCACCCCCGCAGCGTGACGTAACAGAATTGAGTTCGTGTTTAGGGAACCTATGCCATATATCCAGCATAAAGGTACCGCTTTAGGATATAAGGATATAAGTTGTCTCTTTTCAAATCGTGATTTTGTCCAAGCGTCTCTGCGCATGAAGTTTTCCTGGGGCTCACAATGCGGCGGATTATGTCATCGACTGAAAAGGGGGCCTTTTGGCTGGCTGAGACGACATAAGTGAGCGTGGTTTCAGGAGATGTGCACTTTTCAAATATATGCACAATAGCAAAAACACTCTGAAAGTGGTATAAGTTTAGTGTTTGAATAAAGCCACGAAACAAAAGAACATGTGACCACATTATTTTCAAGTAACTTCTGTTACAAATTCAGACCCAGAAAAGGACAAGACAACATGGAGGTTATAGCGTATCCTAATTTATGACAACTTTTAAATCTAGAAATGATGAAAAATTAAAGGAACAAGTACACACTCACCCTGAGAAGAAAGTTGTAGAGCAACCAAAAGTATAAATATTCCTTGTTTCATTTTGTATTAGATCCCCAAAAAGGCGAGGTCCCAATAAAAATACGCCACCTGGCTCCTGTAACACATTTTGTAGTAGCACTTTGGTCATACCTCAGATAATCTTTACTAACACATCCTCACCGTACTTCATTTCGTTTCGATAGCTTGTGTAAATTATCGTATTTTCTGGGCTATAGTCCGCGGACTGTACACCCACCGGCGATATGCAGGTGAACGCCGGACCGTCGACCGGTCCATGCTATTAGCGCCATGGCGCGGCTGCCGTGGAAGCTCGCTTTTTATCGCCCGTTTCGCCGAGGTTAATAAGCGCATACAACAATCGCTGTTCTCAGCTCTGCTGCTACAATCCCGCAGAAAGCACGAGGATTGAAGAAGGAGCCTTTCAGACGCTATCGGTAGACAATGTGATGTAGTAGTTTCTTGTTGTGATATGTGATAAACTGGAAGGCTGCGGAACAAATAAAAAAATAACTCATACTTTTCGGTCTTTTAAAAAGAAGAAGTTATTAGCGTTCGCTTATGAATGAAGAAAGCGGTTGAGTCACTGATAAACCTTGCCGAACAACGTCCTCTCTAGTTCACGTGCAATGTGCAAATCATTTGCCGGCAATGACGAGGGCACGGCGCCCACAAAAGCGATGCCGAAATCGAAATCCACTTCCATGCTTTTTGCAGGGAGTAGCAGCAGATCTGAGAACAGCGCTCGATCCAAACGCTTAATCTCGGCGAAGCGCGCGGTAAGAAATCGAGCCGCCACAGCAGCCGCGTCATGGCGCTGCACTCTAAAAAAAGGGGGTGTAGGCGTTACACCTCTTGTCACATATACGACACCCCAAAACTTCAGTTGGATGTACAGCGCGCTGACGTCGAACAGACGGCCCCAACTTTTGCGGGAGGGTTGATGACGGTGCGATATAACATATCAAACAGCTAAAGTACGTACCAAAGTCTACAGGAAAACAACGCACAGATTTTGCAGTTGAACCTAGAAAACTTCGATAACTTCTTTTGCAGTCAGCCAAACATACATTAACTATTTTAATGACTTGTACAACTCGGCTATCAAGACGCTTGTGAAATTTGGTAGCGTCGGTATTACTTCAGTGTGCTGTACATCCAACTGAAGTTTTGGGGTGTTGTATATGTGACAAGAGGTGTAACGTCTACACCCCCTTTTTTTTAGAGTGTGATAGCAAGACCGGTCGACGGTCCGGCGTTCACCTTCCTATCGCTGGCGGGTGTACATGCTTAAACGTTGAAATTCTAGGCTGTGCGCACTATCTACGCGTGCGGATTATAAAGGACTTTATAATATGACAAGAAGTGACGGATTTTGCGAATGAAAGAGTATTTGGATGATAATGCACAATGAAAGCTTCTTTGCGAAACAAAAAAGCAGGCGTTTGTCAAGGTGTATGGTGTGTAAGAAGATTTTCATGTCGGCTGAGCACCAAGTGCGGACTATGCACGACGTGCAGACACTGCACCGGGTGTGAACTATCTAAGCAAAAACTTTCCTTTTAGTCCCCAAATTTGGTTGCGAACTATAGCCCGGAGAATACGGTACGCGAAATTTAATTGTCTGACGCCTCTTATAGAATGTCTACATTACCATTGGCTTTATGAAGGATCGGTGGCCGAGTGCGTTTGCGCACCTCAGCTCGAAACGCGTGGAGCGAAAAGTCGTGTTGTATAACCCAGGTACCCGGGTTCACTCCCCACTCTTGCACGTTTCAATCTGGATGAGCATCATAACGGCTTGCAGTCGTGTATCACTACTGTGTGGTGCACGCTAAAGACCCCAGGCTAGGGGTTGCACTGCGCTGGCTACATTTCTCACCTAACTAGCAGATTGACTAACGTCCGGGTGTCTAAGCATACGTACTTCACAATTACAATTACATTGGCTATAAAAGAGTGGAATGTATTAGTTGACCATATTGTATCCATAAATTACACTAATATTTGCAGCAGCCACTACCATCCTCCTTTTGGACTCTTATACAGGACCCAGTGTTTTAATACTCTGTCCATGTTGGACAATCGTTTTTATATTTATATGCCCACTCCTTTTATAATACCATTGGAATTCTTACGGACAAATTAATTATGATCATAATGATGATACCTGGCACAATTGTGATGAGTCAAATACGTTTTTGTGTCGGTAAGTGTCGGTGCCATCGTTTATGCTCCAAGACTCGTAGAGCGGGTTCCAGACGGAACAGTTTGAGTTAATGCCGTTTGAGTGAAAGGAGTGATCGACTGCTTGAAGGGGGAACCGCCGCAAAAATCGGTTTGTAAATCTGTTTGTTGCTTTAGGATTTCCAGAGAGCTACCTGAAGGGGGGGGGGGGGGGGGGGGGGGGAGAGAAATTTCTTGCATCAAACTTTCACCTAACAAACTTACCCGAATAAAAAAGTTATGATTTAATAACTTGATATTCCTGCCTATACGATCCAACTTCTGGACTTCTCCCGCGAAATTTAGCCGGCCCGCGAAAGCACTGGCGTGCTCGTATGCTGGACGCCAGGTCCCGTATACAAACACACCGGTGCCTTCGCGGGCCACCATTAGTACCATGTTTATGATTTGAATAAAATTATTATTATTATTATTATTATTATATTTAAAAAAAAACACCTTTCCCAACTTTTTTTTTTTTTTTTTTTTTTTTGGGGGGGGGGGGGGGGGGGAGGGAGGGAGGGTGTTTGCCTCCGTCCTGCAAGAGGACACATTCCTTTCGCGCTCGCGGACGGGTCATTTGCTCTTTCCCGTGCACCAGCAACCCCCTTCTCGTTGAAGAGGGAAGTTTCTCAGCAACGCCAGCGGGCGGCTAAGAATACACTACTATTCAAGGAAAACGTATACACTCTGATCCTTACACTCTTAAACAACCATTCTCTCAAATTTTTAATCTATCTGAGATACCTGGACTGATACAGTCCAGGTATCTCAGATAGATAAAAATTGCACGGTTCTCACCACAGACGACTGAAGGCAAAATGCATACCACCGACGGAGATCTGGCCAATGGACCCCCAAGCCAAGCTCACTACAATAATGCAACCCCTTGAAGCAATTTAAAAGAGTTGCTTTCTTGCACTGTCGGTTGTCTTGGTGAAAAATCACATTTATACAGGCGGCGTAAACACAACTAGGAAAAAAAATCGACGCCTCACTATACTTCGTTTGACCTGAAGTCCAGGCACAGCCGCCGCTCGTGGTAATGGGACGAATCAAACAGCGTAAAAAGCGCAAGTCACTATAGGCCTTTTCTGTTCATGATTGGCTCAGTAATGATTGAGCACGTACAGTAGTGATAAAGCACGTAAAGAAACATTGGGCGAACACTATGATGGCGCACATTTGACGAACTCTGATTGGCTTCTTTAGCTTGTAGCGTCGGCTGCGTCTGAACGTAGGCAGAAACTAAGTATAGAATAAGCACCGTTTAGGGGAAGCCCTAAACTTGCACGACAGATTACTACACTCTTTTTTCCCTTAGGTCCGACCGCACGCGTAGAAAGGGTGCGTGGAGGCGTCGTCGTCGTGTTTGTGCGGTTTCTGTTACCGGAAGCTAAGCACGCTCAGTGACTGCGGCGTGATCCTGCTTTTTTCTTGAGCTAATTAGTCTGGCCGTTGATAGTAAACGAACAAAGATGGCGAGTGCCTTGGCGATGCACTTTTGTTGCCGCTTGATTTCCTCTATCGTTTCGCAGCGACGACTAGCTTTCCAAGAAAGTGTATATAGGAGATTGTACCCGCTTACTTTCCCGAAGAAATATTCCCGGTTTGGCTTACCCGTAGTAAGTGGTGCGAATACTTCTCTCTGGTGGACTGTCCAAGGTATGCCTCGAGAGGGGCACGATATATTGCATTGGAAGAGGTTTCATACTGCATTTATATATTGAAATCC